TTAGTAAATCAACGTAATTTTTCCGGAAAAAGATGCTCAGTCGTTATTTGGCAAAATCACATTTCATCAAGACATTCAAAAACGTTCCACAAATTCGACAAAACGAATATATTAAAAATTAGAAGACTTCATATTCATTTTTCTTTTTCCTTTTATTCAGAACAAAAATTGCCCACTATTAACATTAAAAAACCATATACAACTTGATAAATCTAACAATTTGTAGCACCTTAGTACAAGTACGTACAAAAATTTTAGAAGTTAACTTCTAGAAATCATAACGATTGCTGCATTCTGAGTTTTTATGATATGCATTTACAGGACATCCTAAATACGACCATGTAACTGCATACACGTAAAATTATTCACAAGTACTTTATATCTTTCTTTGACTGCATCCACCAAAATTTATGCACAAGTTGTACTTACAATGTTTGTTTGACTAATTAGAGATCTCGCCTTACGTTCCCTACCAGCTCACAAAAAGAATACTAATTTACATTTAACACCTTCACTCCCAATCTATGCAAGGGAAGGAAGGAAAACTATGAAGGGGCAGGTAGGGCTATGGAAGAATTTCTCCCTCTTCTCCTTGCAAAATTGCCGCTTCATCTTCTTCCTCCACATAATCGTCCTTTAAGTATAGCCCAAGCTTCTCCAAAGGGTTTCTCAAGTTACCACCACTGATGGCTCCCATTATCGCTTCAAGGTCCTCGAGAACCTCTCGATTCTCATCAATATCGACAGTTTTAACCATCTACACAAGCAAAAAAAGATATAAGCGAAATTAAATTCCTTTAGCGTCCACAAGGCAAATCTTAACACAAATCGCACTAAACCAAGAAACATAAAAAAGAAAAGAAAAAAGGGACCTTTTCTATTGCAATTCTCGCGGCTTCTCTTGCCCTCTTATGCTGCATATTCAAATCCGCCTCTACCCTCATTCGCGAGGCTGCTTCAGCAGCTCTAATTTCTGCTTCAATCTTAGCCTTATCTGCGGAAGGTCAAACATCAAGTGTAAACAACGCATTCCCCAAGGAAGAGAAACACTCGTTCAACACTTGATAAAGTCAGATATCTAAATCAAATTATAGAACAATCTTCAATTTGATTCACAAACAGAACAGTTCCATAGTTCACACAACAGTTCTACATAATTAAGATTTTATGTTCGGCCACATGCCTTGTGTCTCATCTATTGATCATCGAGAAAAAGTTCAATACTACCTAATAGTAGCCCAAAAGGCAAAAATTATGCACTAAAAATTTCACAGGAAGGCAACATTTTAACACATAAATGGGATAGTGCAACATAATACTGGATCAAGATATGCTTAAGATCACCTTCACGCTGCTGCCTTTCCAGTCTTTCCCTTTCTTTCAGTCTATTCACAGGATTAATCTTATTGTGCTGAACAGGAATCAACAGAAACAAAGAAATTAGCAAGTCCACAAAACGAACAGAGCTCAACATGCCTAGTATGTATGACAAAATTTCTGCAAGCAATAATAATACATTACATGATCCAAGAGATTCTGATGTTTAGCTCTGAAGATAGTATCTGAAAAGCGGCTTTTTAGCATTGCAGCTCGCAGAGCCTTGTTTGGCGACATATGAACAAGCGAAGTCCATCCTAAAACAAATATACAAGATACATCAAATCTCCATATCGTCAAGCTTTCAATATTTGGATCTTGGAATTTAGTGAGGCAAATTGACATCATTCTCTTACATCTGGAACTGATACATGCACCTGTCTGTGTGTACAACTCGATGAATTTAGTAGATCCTTTTAGGATTAGTAATCTTAGATTGAAGCTATCCAATTTTTACAATGCGATGGTAATAACAGATTTCATCAGGCCTCACATGAAACAAGACATCTCACTATAGAGAAATAAAATTAGAAAACAATGAGGAAACTTCCCATGAACACCTACTTCAGTAGGTCAATAAGAAAATTTATTAAAATATTATTTACTTAATGCCCTCCCCCCTGGTTGTCTACATGGATCCAAACTGAATGGCGTCATATTTTTATTATGTTCTTTCCCTCAATTTGTCTAATTCGTCCTCATTAGTCCCAAAATACAAATGGAAACTGAGCTGTTTGCACAAGAATATAGCTACCTTCATCAATGGCAGCAGCTGAAGCTGGGGAAGAACCACTTTGCTGAAAGTTGTCTTCGTCTAAAACTCTCTCATGCCCTAAAAATGATTGGCAATGGCATGTCAAAACTCAAATAATAATAAAAATAGGCTAAACAATTGTACATATATTTAACAGATTTTGGTTTTACCATCAGAATCCTGCTTTAATCCTCTTGTATGAGATGGCACGACATCTTTAACCCCACGATCCTAAATGTACAGGGTGACAATCAACAAAAGTTTCACATTGTATAAAATAAAATATTTTAGTACACCAAGAAGAGGCTGAAACTTACAGTTTTAGATTCACCACAAAGATCACGATGAGATGATCTTTCTGAAGAAAAATCAGAAACAAGACACCGAATTAGCTGACAGGTAACATGGATGTAACATACTAAAAGAAGAAATATGAATTTAACTCACCACTGGAAGATGGCTTGACAGAACACCTTCTAAGGCTGCAATGGCACATCAAACTACCACATGTAGTACATTCAACTGCAGGGGAATCAAATGGTTGTTTTCTATTTGCAGCAGCAAAGGCACTTCGATTGCCATTATCTGTATATATGATACATGGCCAATCAGGTCGTGAATAGAACCAGAAAGCACAAAATTTTATTCTGTCATATATCAAACCTTTATGAACAGTTTTCACCAGCACGGGGCATCCACTTTTTCTTGTTCTCGCAGTTGTCATCTTTCCGCTTGATATTTTCACAAGCTCTTTCCTCAAATTTTTCTTTTCCTCCAACGAAAGTGGCCCTCTGTTCACAAGACTGATGCGCACTGAAGCTTTATCAAGGCAAGACAGTGTTGCATTTTGGCCTTTCTTTTCTAGAATCGGCTTTGTATCTTGGCCATTCTTTTCTGTTCCTTCTAAAATGCATAATTGTTCAAGATTTCCGCCCGTGCTCTTCATCTTTGTCTCCAGTAATTTCCATCTACTACAGAAGAGATCATTCAATTCCTTTGCAAAGTTATGGACAAAGTTTCCAGGAGGATTGTACAGCATTGCATTGGAAAATGTCAGCCGCACATCACTAGCAAATTCCTCTACATCAAGGTATTTATTGCCCTCTAGTTTACTTTTTATCGTCCCCAAATCCATTGGTTTAGTGATTATGGAAAAGTAATCAGGAATCTTCAACTTCACAGGATCAACAGGTTGATTGAAAGCAAATCCATGAGGGTGCCCCATCAATAATCTCAATATGATTCCACATTGCTTCTTGAAGCTTTGCTCCATCCTCTGTTTTTTCTCCCTTCGGCACTCAAGGATCACTCCAGGCTTGCGCTTATTAGAGTTGCCTGAAGTAGATTTTCCATTTGCAGTAACTCCTTGTCTGCATTCATTATTCACCATCCCCATCATATTTTCACATGATTTCTCTTCTGATTCATGCCGTATTCCCTTTGAGGTGATTTTGAACTTTATGCTCCTCTTCACAGTATCAGCTGCCATAGTAGAGAACTGCAAGTGCGGAAG